TATTTTTCTATTTTAAACAGTTAACTCATTTATTTCAATTATTTGAATTTTTATGGAACAAAATGATATAGATAAATGATTATTAACATTGAGAAAATGAAGAAATTGTAGATGTTGCATTATTCGTATAATTATGACGAATTGAATTTTGATTAGTAATTGTATATAAATCATTACTTAATTCAAGATCACGTGGTAATTTTCTTTTACGTGATGAATAAGAATTTTTTCGTTGTCGATTAGCAATTAATGAAAGTGTACTATGATGATCATCTGTTGTTAAATGAAGTTCATTTAATGGTAGATCCTTAATAATTAAATATTTAAAGTTAAAAATATAATCAACTATTTATTGTCGCTTACTGGATTTGGTTCATCTTGTAGACGAAGTACAGTTCCAACAGGAACTACTGTACGCATGTGTAAATTTTCAAGTTTACGATATGGATCGATTAAGACTGGAGTTGTTTGAATAATAGGTGCAGAATTCGTAGAAGGATAATCTGATTGTTTACTTGATTGTATTACTATTTCTGAAATATTTGATCCAGATAATGATGTTAGAGGCGTTCGACCTTGATTTTGAGATAAGGCTTGAGATAATGAAGGTCGATGAATATGAGATAATAATGTATCTATACAATTGAATGAACACATATTGAATTCATGAAAATCAATACATACTCTTTTCATTGTATTTTATGGATGATGTACGATTTTTTTGTTTTATTGGGTCATTACTGTTTGGAAGGACATGTGCTCCAATTCTATTAGATACATGTGGTATTTCGACAATATGTGATGAATTTAAACCTTGTTGATGATCAAATAAGATACTTTTACGATCAAGTAAAACATTTTTCATTGTTATTGATTGTTGTTCATTTTCAATTTGTGAATGTTGTGCAAGTTCTTTTGCTCGTTGAATATTAAGATATCGATCAATACTTGTGCGACCACGTAATGTAATTGTATCAAATTGATGAAATATATCAGTTAATGTTAATTGTTCATTTATCGATGAAATATCAGAATTATTTTGATCAATAATATATAAATAATCATGTGCTGTTTTCATTTGAAATTTAGTAAAATTTGAAAATATTGGAAGTTTATTCTGTTGAATACCTTGTTCAATTAATTGTATACATCGTTTTAACTAGATAAAATAAATAATAATATAGAAAAAAATCAATATATTTATTTTTAAATACTTTATCAATTGTATCACATTTAAGAATTTGACAAATTTGTTTTATATTACCTTCATAATTCATATAAAGAAAATAAAGAATATTTATTTCAGCAATATCTTTTTCTCTATCAAATATTTGTAAAAATTCAAAAATATGACTTAAACGACGACCACGATCAATATCTATGTTAATATACTAAAATATTGATTTTTAATAAATAATATCTTACAAGATGGAAAATCAATAATTTTAATTGGTTCAAGATGTTTTAATACTGGATCATTAGAAAGTTGTTCAAGAAGATATTTAGCAAAATGTATTGAATTTTTATTTATTGTATGATAATCAAAACCCAAATAGAAAGGTTTAATATTATTGACAATTTGATCAATTTCTTTCTCACTAAACCATGTCCATCCAACTTCAATCGAATCACGTAAACGATATAAATGAAAACGTGAATCATGTTTTGATGTTTTATAAAGGCCAGTAAATTTATATGGATGTCCCATATATCTAAAATAAAATAAACATAATATATTATTCACAAAGTAATATTATATTGAGTTTACCCATATTCAGCTGAATGTGCTTGTACAGCACAATGATAAAATAATAAACCTATTGAATGAATAGAAGCATTGATACATCCACCTAAATCGTATAAATTTAAATATACTGGTGTAATATATGTTTCTTGATGTAGACTTGATGATGATGGTATTATTGTATTGACAGTAACATTTGTCTGTCTGTCAGTTTTATTGTTATTTATAGAGATTGGAGTATTCATTGAGCATTATGAAGAGAAATAATATCCGGATAAAAATTTATATATTGAGTAAACATAAATCTGCGATAGCTTTAATAGCTCTCGCATTCGTGGCACGACTTCGTTGTGAAAATAAAAATTTTAGATAGGATATATATATATAAGAGATATAATTATTATGATATTTTTTATTAATATAATATAAAAAGTTTGTTTGGGCGCTTATCTTGTTTTTATTTTTTATTTTTAAAGTATTAAAATATTGACCTTGAAATCCTTTGATGGAAGTGAATCAGATGGTTTTTTTAAGATTTCTATATCTTTAATGTAACATCGGCTAAAAATGCTCACTCTTAGATGTTTTTTAATGTCTTTTTTTTTAGCAAGCTAAAAATCTTCTGTTGCAACCGGTTGTTAGTTGCAAAAAAAGTGATTTTTTTTCTTTTGAAAAAGAATTTTATTAATACAGTTTGTTTTTAATGTGAAGCATATTAACACATAAGACAAATTGTTAACTAACCATTCTTGTTGTCAATTAATGTTGTTCTTTTTTCTTTTATATATCTACGTTTGTACCATCTCCTTTTCCTGTGTTCTATGATTGTTTATCATAACGCAATAGATATGACGTCTTTTTTCTTTTGCTTTGCACAAGAGTAATAAAACCTGTTATTTATATAACAGAGCTTTTCATTGTAAAGAGGTACCCACATAAAGAAGTTTTACTTTATGTATACATAATGATTATTTTCTTGATGACTATAAACTCGGACTCGGAAATCTACTAATCGAAACCGATGTTAAAGACTAAGGTATTTTTACTTGTAACTTCATCTTTTCCAAATATTTCTGATAAATATTTGGACGAAAATCTTATTAATGAAATGCTTCAGAGGTATTGATTTAAGTATAGATTCTTTAAAAATATATTCCAAAAGGATCAATTAAAATATTGTGTTATGAATAGTTATTCAGCATTGTTAATTTAAATGATACGATTGCTATGCTAAATAATTCAATACATATTCTTAAGAAATGAACACGATAAAAAATATAATTGCACTTAATTTTACCAATAGTTTCAATTGTGTTACATTTGATTCTATGATAAATATTTTCATAGAAAATACATATTGAAAAGAAGTTCTTTGTTGTTTATAAGTAACATAATCATTGAGAAATGTTATTGTTATTGTAAGCATCTCTATACTACTATAAGTAATAAGATCCTGAGTTCCAACATCTTCAGTTCGAATAATAACTTAAGTAAATAAAGTCAATTATAAGACTTATTATTTGAAAAATTCTTTGATCAAAATTTGTAATTATTTGACAAAAAAGCTAATGAGGAAACCTTTTTAACTGTCAAATTGCCTTTGAATCAGAGCTGTATTGATTGTTCTCTTATTTTCTTGAGACTGAATAATTAGTGACATTTTTTTGGCGTTTTTTCATATCAAGACAATCAAGGGTGTTCACTCATCGATTTAATTGCTAGGATATGACTATCGAAGTATCATTGTTCAGAAGAACTACAAGAGAGTGTCTTCAGTAATGAGATGAATAATTCAATTGGCATTAGGTCTTGAAAAAACTCTAGTAGGCATACGATAATGCACTCAAGCGGTATAAATCTCATACTCAGAAAAAGAGTTCTAGTCTAATATCTGTTCGGTTCATTGAACGGTGCACTTTAACTTGGTTGATGCACGAGGAAAATAGTGGTTTACAATTTAGCTACACTAAGGATCGAAAGAGCGTTTTTCGTCTTACTAAGATGTTGCAGAAACAGACTTGAAATATTTAATCTCCGCTATTGATGTTCATATACTTGTCACGCGACATATACATATGACAAACTAAGTAATGTTTATTGTACAATATATTAAAGTGGACATTGGATTTTTACCTGATCACGCATTTTAAGATGTGATTCAGTCTGGGCTTGAATCTTGATCATTGGATGTTAAAAATCTGATTTTGGAAATCTTCCGAATCTTCTCTTATGACGAATTTCTTAGCTTCACTGCACTAAATGAATACTGATACTCATCAAATTTTGAAAATAAAATAGAATAGCATAATAAAATAATTGATTATATAATATTTAGATGCTTGTTGCATATTCAAGTCAAATAAACTTAAAACATTTGTAAAATAATCAATAATAGATCTAAATTTTAAAACAAATATACATTTGTTTTTCTTCATAACAATTTCTAATGTTTTTGAGTTCGATGAAGATAATTTAAGTTCGAATGAAATTCGAGTATTTTTCTTTTAAATATTTTTAACTAGACTGATGTTAAAGTTGAATTTCATTGAGATAGAAATTTAATTGTTTAATTTCTGTGATCCAGTAGAGTCACTTGTCAAAATCAAAGATAACTATAAATTTAAGGTGAAAACTTCAACTTGTCTGAATATCATAAAAATAAAACTTTTCTATTATATGTAATTTTTATAATTTTAGATGAGCAATTATGATGGTTGTACAAGTTTGAATCCTTTGACGAACAACAAGTCCAGTTGTTCAAATATTCATTGCAAAAGAATTATGCATAAATAGATAGGTTTTTTTTTTATATGACTTTGCTCGAGTATTTTTCGTGCTCCTTTTCTCTGTTCGTAGTCTTCAATTTAATTATTTCTTCAACCAAGAATAAACAACATTTTTGATTTTTTCTATTAATTCTTTACACTAGTGTCGTTTAGCTTCGCATTTATACTACAGATACTTCTCTTGTTACTCAATATTCATAGAACTTTATGTAAACAGATCTTAAAAGAAATATGCTTGTTATGTCATTCATGGATAAATAACATTTGCTTTATTAATAATAAGTAAATTTTTATATTCGTTTATAAAGAGTATTTAAATTTGCTATATCATTTCATTTCATTTTTATGTTGTTTAAGACACATAGAAGAAAAGTCAGAAGATATGTACATTAGAAAAAAAGAAAGAGAATAAATATAACATAAACATAATGTATTTACAACGAGAAACAAAAAAAAAAAGATTCGAGATATTAATTGCAAAGTTCAAATAGACATGAACTAAGTATTTGCGATGCTTCCGTTGATTCAAGAGCTAAATTTGCAATAATTTGTTCATATTGTCGAAGATTTCTAAATGAAATAGAATAAAATTTAATTATTATGTTTATTACATTGTCTTACTGTTTTCCTATTGATGAATGTCGAGCAATATTACGTAAAATAAGTGCAGCTGTTAAACGAATACTTTTTGTTAATGGACCTTCTTTATTTTTATTCTATGTTTTTTAAATAAAATATTTAATCAAATAGAAGAAAAACAAAATTTAACTTACTATTTGTTCATCAAATAAATTAGCTTGCATATAACGTCGAATCGCAAACCAAGCAGCATCAGATGTATAACCAACTGATCCCGATGTCAATATACGATTACTATTACTAGAAATATTTGATGGCATTGCATTTGTTGAAGGAACAGGATTTGTCAATTTGAGTTTTGCTTGTCGAAATGCGATTTCCGAACAATGACGTTCCTATAGATGAATTTAAAAAAAAATTAAATAAAAAGTGTACCGAAAGTTTTGAGACAAAATATTTGGTTATTTGTTAGATCCATTGAAAGTATTTCCAAGCAGTCAACAGCTATGAGTTAGGACCCAGAGATGGACAAAGTCGCACCACGCCTTCCCGCGCTGTTGCTCACGCCTACGCTACACTAGTCTGAGCTTCGATGAGCGCATGCTTAGAGCATCCCGGTATTCGGTGGAGTTTGAGAAACTGATTGGTAGAGCAAAGAGAAAGAGAGATGTGCGTAGCGCCTAGGCGCGAGCAGTGGTGCGGTGCGATTTTGTTCATCTCTGTTAGGACCAACATATAGTGCATTTTTCCGAATATGAACTTAGATATTCTATCTGAGTATTTGTTCAAGAATAGTGAAATAATCTTTAAAAGATCTAAAAATGAGTTTGGATAGAATTTTTAAGCTGAAAAGTTTCGTGCTAATAATTGTTTATTTTGATCTGTTTGAAAGTGTCTCTAACAAGTTAAAAATTATGAATAATGATAAGAATTTTGTGTTCATTTTGAAGATGGAATTAGAAATGTTGTGTCTCTTTTTTTGTTCGAGAATATTGAAGAAGTTTTTGAAAAGCTCCAAAAAAATAGATTGAATGGTAAACTAAGAAGCTTTTGATAATCTCTATAAATTTCTTTTCGAAGATGTTAAAAATTATTAAAGTCAATCGTTTTGTCGAGCGAATACTTCTTTACGAAATATTATGTTGGACTCACGAGAAAGCTATTCCAACTGATACCCATCATTTGAGTTTATATTATGATCAATTTACTGGATTTTTGATCCATTGTTAAGTACTTCCGTTAAACCAAATAATGAAGGTTTGATCCAAAATTATGCTTATAGATAAGTCTAACGACTCTCAGAATATCCTGAAAGATTGTTCCCTCGTCAAGTTACTGAATTTTCAAGTCAACTTGTTATTTGTGACGAATGGTTATCTTTGATACTTGAATATCTTGACGAAGGAATATTCTTTTTAGCTGAAATTTTGACAATATTCTAAGAAACATCAGACCTATCTATCTTTAGGCAAAGTTTTAGATCCAAATAGTCTATTATTGTTGAGTAACTTCTACTCTACAAGCTTATATGTTAATAAGGGTACTTCATTAAATTTCGAGTTATGATAATGAACGTACAAAAGTATAAGTCAAAACTTTCTGTCTAAACTATTTTTTTTGAGAGAGAGCGGGGGGGGGGGGGGGGCGGGCGGGAACTTTCAAAAATCATTTCATTAGTCTAAAAAAAAATTTCTAAATTTACACTCGGAAAGAATATAAAATTTGACTCATTAGAAACATGTTCAATTCGTCTATGAAATAAAATATTTTATCATTAGAAATATACTTGAATATGATTAATTAAAGCCCATTTTTGACGTTTTAATCGATCACATCCATTCCATAAACATACATAATCAGACGAATGTTTAACATGAATTGAACAAGTATGATGAAAAACTGCTCGTGCTGTGGCAAAAGCCCTAATATAAAAAAAAAATTTTACAAAAAAAAAGATAATTTTTATTTTGTTTTTACGCTCGACAATTATCCCAATTGCAAACATAATCAGATGTTGTTATAATATTCGATGTTGAAATAGTTGATTTACTATCAGATAATTCTTGTTGACTAGATTTTTTTGTTTGTGATTGTTCACCAACATGATCAATTTCTTTTATTATTTGTGTTTCTATTTTACGTTTAAATATTGGTGATGTTATATAATTATTAATATCTGACAATGATTGATCAACTAAGAGTACAACACGTTGACATAAATCATTTAAACATAAACGAATATCATTATCAAATGATTGAGATGAACAACGATCGAGTAGATCAGTCATTGTTAAATGAATATTATTTGTTGTATTATTATTTTCTATATTATTTTCATCTTCAATTGATGATGACACAATAGTAACGGGATTTTTTGATGAAATCGAATATGAACGAGATGGACAAGGTAATTTTGATGAAAACAATATGTCATGAAGAGATGCATTCATCGTTTCTGTCAGACCTAAAAGTATTTCAAAAAATATTTTAAAAATTAAAATAAAAAAACAACAGATCAAATTTACAATCATATTTTCGTTTTTTATCATTTGTTTGAGTATTTGTATTTGGAATAATAATTGATTGATTTTGTGTTGATGATGTTGAAACAGATATAGAATTTCCTGATGAAATTAAACCAGTCAATGTTAATGGTTTAGAATATTGTTGAATAATAAATTTTGTATTATTTTTATTAAGTTCAGAATTTTCAATTGAATATAATTGATGTTGTTGTTGTTGTTGTTGTTGTGTCGATTGATTTGAAGATATAACAACAATTGGTTGTGGTGCTATCGGTGGTTGATGATAAGATTGAAGAATCGATGGACCTGAAGACATTTCAATGATTTTTATAGTTTTTATTGTGTCAGAAGAAAAACTTCGTGCTTCTATTGTTAATAAATCAATTAATGTTGTTATTATTGATGTAGATGTTTGTACGTTAAGTATTGTATCACATAATTGCTCACCTATAATAAACAGAAGGAGAAAAAAAACATTTTTACAATGCAATTGTTTTGTCTTGTTAAATTTTTCGTTAAACAATAAAATAACTTCAAAATGTGAAGACAAAAATAAATTATAGTTTAATGCAAGATTATAAGGTGATGAATATGATTGTGATTGGTAGTAATTCAACTATACTAGTAAAGCAATTTTTAATTACAATTATTTGAATGTGTATCGTTTTGCTAGACGAGAAAATACATCAAATTTTTTTCACTGTAATAATAAAAAATTACAAATTTTGAATCCTTCAAATATTAAATTCTTTTGTGAAAATAAAACTTTTAGAAAATTAAAATGTTTATGAATAATGTAAAAATTTTTGGAGAAAAATATATTTAATCATTTCATATAGATTATATAATAAAAATATTACCACAATAAATCGAAAACAATTATGGTCAAATAAATTTCCCTCAGACATAATGTCATTTTTGAGAATTTCACATGTATATATATTTTGATTTTACAATTTTGTAACAAATATAATTATTCTGATGATAATAAAAATTGTTGTTTTCCTCCTTCGTATAATAAACTATGTAAGTGACTTAGTCAATAAATTTTTTTTATTTGCCGTTTTTGTGAAACACGATCTGAAAGGAATGTTGATGTATATAGGATCGAAATTTTGGACCATCTCCTCCCACAGACTGTCGTAGACAGAGCTTTGGATCTATCACAGACCTGCTCCAAGGATCATCGTAGACTGTGATAGAAGACTTTAAGGATATATCAGAGATAATGTATAACTAACATATAATTGGAGCATATATGGCAGTGTTTTATCAAGAGGAGTGCCCGGCGCCTCCCCTCCCTCGAGACTCGCGAAATTTTGAATCGCCTCTCCGGAGAAAAAACCCTGATATATGGAGTATTGTCCTGTTCAAGATCTATAATGTAAAGTAAGCCATGATGAACAAATGTCCCGCAATATGCATAAAAAAAAAACATTTTTTAGAAGATTGGCAACAACAGCTACATCGTATTTCACATTTCAATGCCGCAGAGATTGTGCTAACAGCTTTTATAAATTTATATAAACTTACCTAATTCCGATAATTGATATAAACATTCTAAACAGTGTACTAATACAAGTATATCAGGTATATGTATAAGACTTTTAACAATAATATCAATATAATCAATTAAATAAATTCCATTATCATTTCCAGCACGAGCTAAATTAGTAATAATTTCTAATGCACGAATTATTCGAAATCGATCTTGTTGTTGTTGTTGATCATCATCACCATTTAACATAGAACTTAATAATTGTCGTAATAATAAACCTTCATTATTACTTATCATACGTAAATGCATATATAAAGCTAAATTAGTCCATATATCAAAAGCATATTTTTGTAATTCAATTTTATTTTCACAATATGATATTAATAATAAAAATATATAAGTTCTTGATAATTTTGATTGTATTGTATCAAGTAAATAAAGTGTATTTAAACGATCAAATGAAAAATTACGTATTATCATTAATATTTGTTCAATACGAAATTCTTGTTCTTTTTGATATTCATTTGTATTAAGATTAAAATTTTTATAAAGAATATTTTTCTTATTTTCAATATTAATATTTAATAATAATTTAAGAATTATAGGTGAACATGATTCAATCCAAAATAAATCCATATTATAATTTAAGTATGTTGACCAAAGATTATCATATAAAAATTTTAAATTATGATCATTAATTAATGTATCTGACGGTAAAAATAATCCAACATGACGAAAAAGTAAATCTAATAAACGTGGACATTTATATAAATCAAAAGATTTTGCATGATTTCCTGATGATGAAAGAAGTAATAAAGTATTTAATGTAAATGTTAATTCATTTGGAAAACCACATAATAATGCTAATTCTAATTTTTCATATTCATTTCGATTTACAAAATCAGTAAAAAGTCCATATTGAATACGTAATGCATCTGAAGAGAAAAAAAAAACAAAAGATTTTTTTTATTTCAATTAGAAAGTTATTTTCTGTAATTTTTAATGAAAGAAGTTTTACTGACGAGGGAAGGTCCCCATGTGCCACGCTCCGTTTTGAATCGGACATATGCCATTTTGTAGAGCTCAGTGAGACTAGCAAAAGCTTAAAAGGGTTCTTCCCCATGGACCTTGGGAGTCGAGTTATGCCCTTTCTACTGAATTTGTGACCATTTTTTCGATATTTAGCAGTAAATCAAACAACGGAGTTTTGATCTGAAATTTTGCCAATTCTGCTATACTTCTAGTAAGTATTGTTCACATTTCCAAATAGGAAGCACTAGAAAAGCTAAAACTTGCACATTCACACCCTCTTATTAAGAAATTTGTTTATGCAAAATTTGAAATTGACAGTCGAAAGTAATTAAAGCTTTTTTTTCCTGAAAACCCAATAAAATTTTAATATTCCACGATTAGAAGTCAAGAAAATTAAAGCATTCCAGACTTTTCTATCACTTACTAGTTATTGATCAAATGATCATTGTCTTAGTCAACAAGTATTTGAGATTCTTGAAGTTCTATGTTGAAAAATAAATCTCTCATTGACAACGATTAGGAATAAAAAGCTCTGAAATTCTAGTATAAATTCAAAACGTTTTATCTCTATCAAGCACTATTAATACACTACTCGTAAGTTTTATTAGTTAATAAACAAGAAAAGGTAAGAGAACTTTACGCAGAGTTTTGAGAGAGAATTCATATAGATGATTATGAAAAACTGATTATCTTTACAAAGATAATCTTAGATATATGAATTCTTCTATAATGATAGTAATCATTTTCGAGGTCTTCTCATAGATAACATATCATAACAAAAAGAATTTTTAACTGAAAATATTTCTTTGCAAGAGTTGTTTTCAACTGATATGATTTAATTTGTTTTCATCTAAGATGTTCAACATATATATATTTAATTCTTTCTTACCGGAAACAATATGTTGTGAATGGTTATATGATTGTGGTACACGTTGTAATTGAGAAGTTGTTCGTCGTTTTGCATCTTCATTTTCATCATCATGTGAATCAATATTTTCGCCATTATTTATTTTTTCAAAAGCATATAAATATCTATTTGAAATAGAGAAATAAAATAGAATATATCATATTGTTTTTTAGTTTATTACCGAATATAAATATTTTTTAAAGCTTGTGTAGCATTAAGACATGATGAATCAATAGAAAAATTATTAGCAATAGTTGACCATAATTGTCTATCATTGACTTTATCCCAACCACCATGACTAACGACTGTATTATATAATAAATGTAAATCAACAATTTGTCCAGCTATTGTTGGTAAAGAACGAAATGTTGTTCTAAACAAAAAAATAATATTTTTGTTTTTTTTTCAATAAATGTTACTTACTGACGACCTCGATGAAATTCACGTAAGCGTTTGAGAAATTCTTCATAAGGAGATAATGATGTTGAAGAAAAAGAAGATATTTGAGATGAATTATTAGTATTTAAATCTGTATTTGTTTGAGAAAAATTTGTATTTGTTACTGTTGATGATTGTACAAGAAAAATAGACGATGATGGAACATTAGTTGTTGTTGATGATGATGATGATTTACATGAGATTGGACGAGGTTGAATTGGCGGATATGTTGTCATTATTTTTTTTAATTAATTAAATTTTATCTTTTTAAGAAAGAAAGACAAAAGATTAATAATATTTTATTATATAAATTTTATTATATATTAGTTTGGTCCTTCTAAACAATACATAAAATTGTCATTCTCATTCTATGTTATGTATGTCTATCGTGTAGATGAAACCTTCGTTTTTCAACACACAAGGGTTTTTTTCTCATGTCAATGCTAAAACAGTTTGATTTGATAGAAGTACCAACAATGAAAAATATAATCAACAGATGGCAGCACTTGATGTGTTCCATGTTCGATAAAAGCTAACAGTCAATAATATTTTTTTTCATGCAATTGTGTATTAAAAATATCAAGTAGAACTCATTGAATGTTTTATTCATGAGCAGCTCATTCAATTTTTAGTTTTCAAATAAAAAAAAAAAATCGTAAAAAATTTCAACGATATTTAGTTTTTATATAAATCTATTCATTGAATTAATGTGGTTATTAGGGACAAAATATAAATATTTTATACTTAAAAATTACAATATTCTATACTTTGAGAGATTATTTTCTAATTCATATGTAAAATATTCAATATCATGGATTTCTATATATTGGACAGTTCTATCATACGTTGATATATTGCTTTGTTAAAATTGAAGAAAAATAGACGAAGAAATTCTTACTTTTATTGTGTAGATTTTCACTAGAGCTCCTAATAGATCGCGCTGATGCTCTATAGAATGTACTGATTTCAAGGTATCCATGTTCTAGATTACTTGTCAGCAGGGCATCTTTTCTGATATTCTGTTACCAGTATGTCACACGATCTTAGTTAAATACTTACTGAATATGCGCTCAGATATCTGCTCAGTTTCTACGGCGTTCTAGGAAATATTTTTTCAACAAATTAATACAGAAATATGCAGAAAAATTTTGTAGTTAAGGACTAAAAACTGCTAAAATATTCTAAGGTATTGAGTAATTAAATATTCTTATGACATACTGGTAGCAGGACGAAGAACTTCTGAGTTCATCTTTCGGCTACAAGTAGAGCTCAGTGAGAATAAGAAAACCCTAAAAGTGTTTATGTCTATGACTTTTTTATCAAACGTTATACGTGTTTTACTAAATTTTTGGTCTAGAGTAACGGTATCAACAATAAAGCTATTTCGATCTGAAATTTTGTTCATAAGCTGCTCTAATGATTTCCTAGTATCTATTGAGATTTTCAATCAAATCGAATGTTTCCTTTTCGAAACAATGAATACTCAGGTTAGCCTCTGTCTTGTATACTTTCTGTTACAAGAGGACATTTTTTGAAAGTTCAATGTCTCGAAAAGGAAATATTCAATCTGATTAAAAGTTTCGTTAGACACTAGAAATTACTAGAACAGATTACGGACAAAATTTTAGATCGGAATATCTTCATTTGACTTTATTGTCGATACTGTACTCTAGACCGAAAATGCAGTAAAACACGTGTAACGTTTGACCAAAAAGTTATGAGCATAAACGCTTGTAGGGTTTTCTTATTTTTACTTAACCCTATTTGCAGCTAAAAAATGAACTCAAGACGTTTTAAACAGTCAGGATACCTCCTTCGTTATATTTAATCCAATTGGAGGAAAAATGACGCAAACGCTTATAATCTTTTCCTTCGACGCAAGTTTTTTTTGACCCTGGCTTCTTGTGCATCTATTATGAGTAGAATTCTCTTGCATCTCATTGTTGCGCATGGATGCGATTCGAAATAGGCACATATGATTCAACAGAAGGTGTACCAAGTATGCTCGATTGACAGAAGATGAAAGAAGTCAATTAGAAATATTGAAAGTTGAAAAACAATAAAACAATGACTAATTCATCAACTTTCCACCGTAAAAGACAGAAATGCATATGCATCACATATTTCTCAGTTTTCTACTATAAAAACAGACTTACAATCATCAAGATATCTGTTTCTCAGATCTCACATTAAAAATATATATTCTTACCATCCTAAGCTAGTAATTTCATGAAAACCAATGCTGAAAGTATTACAATATTTGCAGTACTTCACATGCTTATCAATGACTCGCGTACACAACTTATTCAAGGTACTGAGCCCTTTTAACTCCAATGCATCCACAAAGCAGTTATATGGTGAATATCTTTAAAAAAATACGAATGATCAAGAGAGACATGATTAGGAAGCGGTATATTAGTATGTTGCTTTAAAAAAAAACAAAAATGATCGATGAAGATAAAAACAGCCATGAAATTGTGTCTACATCAAAATAAACTAATTATGCGTTGACTAAGAAGGAATTCATGTTGGCTCTTATCCCATTCTAACTGAATAACTGTCAGTTTACATCTTTCGTATAGAATATTTAAATTCACTACCTTTAATTACAACGAGAATAGATGCTTTCTCGTTCTGTCTAGTAGAAGGATAGAAAAAATAAAGATCGATAAAATAGAGAGAAGATCGTTCGATTGATCATCCAGATACGGAATGAGATTCAGTATTTGTACTGATAATTTATGAGATGAATATATAACTCCGAAATAGGATCAAATTTTTTCTTCGAATAATTCATGATTGCTAAGTTAGAAATTTGACATTATTTAAAATGAATCTGACCATTATGATAATATTCCTACTCAGAAGTACCAACAGCACGATTCTAAGGATTCTGAGTGAAAACTTAAACATGAAAAACAAGACAATCATAATCAGCATCATGATTTTTAACCTTTAGAAAAATATTTATTTCAACATAAGAAATTATGAACGAATACACATCTCTTGCTAAATAAACAAGAGAGAACTGATATTGTATTCATTTCAAGATTAAAAAAGATCGATAAAATCGATTGACTTAATCATGTCACTGGTTTCGTTCGTCTGCTGCAATCTGTCGATCTTGTGTCGACATTTAGGTATTCTGTTAGCAAATTGTTAACATCAAATCTTTTTGTTTGATCACGTTGAAAAAAGTTTTCTTTAATCAACAACACATCATTGTCCTGTTCTTCTCTTGTGTAAACAAATTTTTGTGAAATTTACGCAATAAAAGCACGCTAATGACGATAGATAACTTTGACTAGAATAACAAGTCAAGATATTTTTAGCAAAAATTTTTTCTAGATTGACAGACCATAGGCGGAATAGTTTTCGAAGAAAAAAAAAACATGAGTGGGCTGAGTTGAACCTCGGAAACTCATGGATCGACTTTGATAGACCTAGTCTTGTCCATTTGAAACCTTAATATTCGCTGACCAAGAAACAAATATTTACATATATATGTAAATATATACAGATATATTTTTATTAAAGTGCATTGTCTTGCTTGACTAACTACATACACACGAAATTAATCACAAAACTTAAATGTCTGTATATAAATGGTAGAATAGTTTATTAACAAGTACTGCTGCAACTTTGCTGTTAAGCATTATCACCTTTGTTTTCTCTTGGACCACTTTGACCAGACGATCCTTGATTGGATGCGGCGTTTCCATCTTTCACGGATGTTGTCGCTGTACCAAGAGTACTACCTGGTGATTCAGCATTGCTGCCACTTGAAGGACCTCTTTGCTTGTCAATATCATCACTAGGTTGTCCACTTAATCCAGAATCAATATTACTAGCGTTTGTCGACATTCTTTTGTCAGATAAGAATGCAAAAATCAATGTAATGTTCGTTTGTGTAACGTAAAAAGCAGAATCAATTTTTTGTATGAAATTAATTTTTTTGTCGTCTCTTTATATATGGAAGAGCTACTGAGTACTAATGCAACGTTTGAGAAAAAGAAAAAAGTTAAAAAAAACGAAAAGGAAAAGGAAAAATATAAGAAATGCGTAATTAGGAAAAGAAACGGATAGACTTCAACAATTGTTTCTCTTCTTCTCGTTAAAGTTAACGTTAAACTTGTTTGTTCTTATTCATTTTCTGCGTATATTTCAATTTGTTTTGAATTACGTAAATATTTTTATGAACACACTCGATGCTCTCTTTTTTTCTGAGACGTAGAAAACACCTGACTCATTTTTATGACGAATATATTAAGTTCAAAATAAATATTGTACAAAATATTTATTGTAAAATCAAACAACGGACTTTTTTCTCTTCGATACTACTTTCAATTTAAATCGTCAAGGTGAATTCAATAATGGATTAATAAATAGAAAGAGACAAAGAAAACCTATGATGGTTATCATGAGTATACTTGTTGAACTCAATAGAAAAAAAAATCATCATACCATTAATTAAATAAAATTCAATTTTATAAAAATGGGATAAACTACATAGAGTTATTCTACTACAAGGACACAATATAGTTTTAGGTTGTTAATGAAAGCCTTTTCCTATTTCGTTTTCAATTTTTTCAACGGTTACTTTTCGTTTCAATTATATTAACACATAGAAATTCATATTGATTCATTTTGAAAGTTACAGTAAAAATAATTACAATAAAACATTTATGCGTAGTTATAGATAGTTTCAAAAATATATGTTTATTGAATTTGTACTCACTACCCTAAGAAACGATTCTGTTTTTTTTTTCTTTCATTCTGCACGTGTATAAGAGCATTAATAAACTCTAAATATAACACTGTTGTCAGATTATGATGAAATTCATTCAAAGAAATGAAAATTTTATATAGATTGTTAGCAATGACTCGTTGTTTTCATACATGCATCAGCGATTTTTCAGTTTCATAGTAATTTTGGTCCTACATTATAGCTCAAAATAATTTTGAACTATATCATCATTTGTCTTATTGTTTTCATACCAAATCAAATACAAGATAGACTGTCAAGATCAACGGTGTGTCAAAGCCGACTATTTATAATCAATGAAAGTATATGATCGTTCATTCCTATTTGTTTATTAATAGAAACTATAACGTCGAAATCTGTCCTACAAAGTTTATTACTTAAATTCTGTCTTCTTTTGAAATAAATTCATTCATCTGTTTGAGTTAGCTATTGAATAATGATATATCTTATTTGTCTAATTAACTATACCTGATTATCGTTGAAAGATAATCAATAAGAATTCTTAACCTTTGTAAACGAATCATTAGTTTTAAAGGATTCATATATTTCGAATGTGTCAGCATTCTATCTACCCAGCGTAAGTACTGATGAGACAACATCAATCTAAAAATCGGATTAAGTTTGAATCTGGATAAAAACTTGACACAAATTTATCTAACATATCTAGATGAATACGAAATAAAAATTAATACGTAGCTAATTTAATCATCATATACAATACGTATTTTGAGTGATTAATTAGCGGATACGAGTACAAATATTTTAGTAAATTTGGAACTAGTAGTACAATTGATGTTCATGATGGCAAATGGAAATGCTATTGATATTGATTGGAGCATTAACGTGAACAGACAACAATTTGTTATTGATGTACTTGATAATCAAGTTTTAAAAATATAGATTTGACTGAGGATGAAAAAATGAATTTCTGAACAATAATATTCAAAACTATAGTCAAACACATCGTCGATGTGAATTTGCTATTAGTGAAGTCATTGAAGAACAAGGCTTTCA